GTAAGAAAATTGTTACTTTGTACTTGCTTCCAAAAATTTTTAGACACTCAGATTCAAGGAAGAAAACTTACATTCTTCCTGTTCATTCCTAAGAAAATTTTGATAATTCTACATGTTCATTTTCAAAGAAATTAACCCTTTGACTGCTGTCATTGTTGTCAGAAGTTTTATGGAAAAATCAAGTACAGCTCCTCCCCGACTTACGACCTACTCGATTTACGACCACCCGCACTTATGACCTGCCTCAGTAGTACCAAAATTTTGTCAAATTACGTATTTTCGAGTCCCAACGTCATTACACAGACAAAAATATTTTTTTGTAATTCACTTTAAAATGGCTGGCAAGCTTAAAAGTGAAAATTTTGTGGTGCTGAGAAGAAAAGGACACACCCATTTTAGATTTTATATGTATTATTTAAGCATTTTCGACTTACTACCATTTTGACTTACGACCTGGATTTGTGTCCCTAACCCCATCTTAAGTCGGGGAGGAGCTGTACAGTACGGTATAGTACAGAACAGTTCCTTTTGCACTAGGACTGCATGTTGAAGGGCCAGAGAAATTATCACTTGCATTAGAAGGGCCAGGGACACTGGGTGAGGCCTCAGGAGGCACCATACTATCACCTTGTAGTGTAAACTCCTTGTACTTTTTGTTTTCCCACCCCTCCACCTTCGCCAGCAGCACAAGGTATGGTTGAAAACTATCACAACGCTCTTATCAATAAATGAAATTACTGTGATGAATGAGAATTCAACACAAGCCACGAGAAAATGGTGGGAAATGTAGGTCAAGGTAACATCCTGTGCTGTTGAACCACAAAGGGCGACTGATGTAGTCACTCGCATAACCTTAGAGGCTGTCTACAGAGGTGTCAGATCGCACTGATGTTGCCAAATGTGCATCTTGCGTATCTAGTGTTCATATGCAAACAAAATTATTTTTTGTAATATTTAAGTTCATATGCAAATTTGTGTATGAAAATCTCGAGTTAAAAACAAAGTAATGAAGTGTAGGAGTCGTGAGTGCCCAGTACTGCGCTGCGCTCCATGCTTGGTCAGTTTAGTATTTGTTATTGTTGTGGTCAGATGCGCGCTGTCTCACTACCCAGTACAGTAATATCTCCATTAGCTGGGATCCCACAAACCCGGAAATCTCAGATAGCCGGAATTGAAATTTGCTTGGAAAATCATATATGGTGAGAAAGCAGAAAGGTGTGGGTGATTAGGGAGATGGAGTGGAAAGGAGTGGTAACATGCACCAGTGTTGCCAAGCGATAAGCTCCTCAACAGCTGATCTTTTAATTTGCCTCCATGCAGTCACACAACAAGACCCCTCACTGGATGCTTGAGATTTGAAGAAGTTGATGAAGAGTTTGGTCAGGAGTCAGGTGGTGAGGTGACTTTCCAAGACACTTATACAGCACACACATTAACAGCACTACTAAACCATTGTCTTATAACATTTTACATTATAATTTGTATTTTAAAATTTATTGATACATGATAGCTCGACTGGGCGACATTTGCACTTAGACAACTGATCAATGAATATACCAGGGCATATGGAGATGCATTATACACTAGTGATGTCACAAAGCTTTGAAACTGCAACCGCAACTTCTGAGCAACCACATAAATTATCACAACCTGTACTCAAATGTACAAAGTTAATTACTAAAATCATTGTTTGGTGCAAACTAAGGGATGTATATATATATATATATATATATATATATATATATATATATATATATATATATATATATATATATATATATATATATATATATATATATATATATATATATATATATATATATATATATATATATATATATATATATATATATATATATATATATATATATATATATATATATATATATATATATATATACAGTAAGTATGCTATAACGAATCTAATTGGTTTGTGAACCTCGCTGCTATAGTATTCACTATAGGGTATCCGTTCTAGGCCCTCAAATACAACCACTTAACAATGAAAAATATTAAGGTTGTACCTCTCTAGTCCGGCATTCTGTGGTCCGGAAACTCCCGTGGTCCGGAACGATTTTAGTTTGTCCAATAGGTAGATAGGCAGCTTTTTTTTTTACTTATCTGAATTATTATTATTATTACAGGAGTATTAAATTTTTGCCCCTCAGGCCCCAATGTGGGTCAGTGACCTATGCCCGGGTGGGCTAATCCCCTTAAAAAAAAAAGCCGCGGGAAATTAAGGTTTGTTTACATCTGGCAGTTCGGCTGCTCTCTCTCTCTCTCTCTGCTTGTCTTTACAGAGTACAACGTTTAACCCTTCAATATATATGAGCAGTAAATAAGTGTTGCTTTCATATTCTTATGTAGAGTAATGACAATATGTTTTCACATGTGCGCACTTACATATGCGCAGTCTCACTTTTTTTTTTACCATTAATGGTTAGCTACTTATATTGTTCCATTTATTAACATTAAATAACATTACAGGTACTTCAAACAACCATATTAATTTTTTTACATTAATTTTACTACAGCTAAAATCAGGGTCGTATTTTCTTGTTTTATATGTAGAACCAATCAGTCACTGGTTTTGTAAGCTTTAACATAAACAATGCCGGCAGCCGTCTCGTCTCCTGTAATATTCCACGTATTATTAATAAATTGTATTGTTAATTTTGCACACAGAAACATTAATTCAATAAAAACAAATTCAGAAACATTAATTAAAATATGTATGAACAGTAAATAAGTGTTGCTTTCATATTCTTATGTAAAGTAATGACGATATGTTTTCACTTACATGCGCGATCTCTCTTTTTTGTTTACCATTATCGTTAGCTACTTCTATTGTTCCATTTATTAACATTAAATAACATGACTTAAAAAACCATATTAATTTTACTACAGCTACAGCCAAGGTCTTATTTTCTTCAGTTTTATATGTAGAACCAGTCAGTCACTGGTTTTGTAATCAACGAAAACAATGCTGTGTCATTTCCTCGTGTGTTTTAATATTCTACGTATTATTAATGAATTGTAGTGCTCATTTTGCACACATAAACATAAATTCAATAAAAAAGACATTCAGTCATAAACAATAATGAATCTTTTGTATATAAGAGAAATGACGCTGTTTACACGATTATGCACGTCGTCTACACGTTGGCGGGCCGTTCAAACCTGTCGAAATTCAAGTTTCCGCAGTCAAAATTTTTATTTATTTATTTTTTTGTGTTCCAATAACATACGTTAAGAATTAAAAACTCACGAAATTTGAGAAGCTACTATACGACATTTAACCCTTCAATGTGTCTTCAAAGAGACCACGATGCAGAGAAAGTGGTGCTAGTGCTTCCAAGCATAAGCACAAGTCACTATCTATCCAGGAAAAGGGTGAATTTCCATGGTCCGGCACCGGTCAGGTCCCGAGGTTGCCGGACTAGAGAGGTACAACCTGTAATATAAAATTGTAAAAAAGTGCATAAATGTGCATTTAAACTCTTGAAATAAAGAATATCATTAATACTTGTAATAAAAAATAATAAATTAGTACAAAAAATGATAAAAAATCCTGTTCGTTGTAGGAGTTTCGTTCGTTATAGCATTCTCAATTTTATAGGTAAAACCGTTCGTTATAGGAATATTCGTAGTAGAATCCGTTCGTTATAGCATACCCCAGGTCAGATTCATGTGGGTAATGTTACTGTTCACTGCCATGCAGGACAGAGGTTCGTACACAAAGAAATGCATCATATTCATTGACACTATATATAGGTCATATTCATGTGGGTAATGTCACTGCCATGCAAGACAGAGGTTCGTACACAAAGAAATACATCATATTCATTAGCAGTATATATAGGTCAGTGGTTCACATACATTGGACGGCAAATTTGGGATAAACAGCAAGAATGTCCTCAAGCACCCCTCATTCAATGTAGTAATTACAAAGTTCAAGATACAATAAGCCAGGTGGCCTGAAGTCTTTGACAGTGTCACATTCAATAATATAATGTTCAAGTGTATGCTTTAAAGGTTTATCACAAAGTTTACATGCTGAGTGTTCCGGTATGGGTACAGTGTTACTAACCTGCCAGATGTGTCTGTATCCTAGCCTAATTCTGGCCACGACTACATCACATTGTCTGGTTCTGTCCTTATGCTGGCCATACCGGTCCATTGAGGAGTAAAAGTGACCGTGCCACCCCCCTAACCCTGATAGGGTTGCCTCACTGTTTGTCTACTGCACTGACTCATTCATGGTACAATATTGTTTATTAGTTTTTCATTAATTAGTAAAGATAAATTACTGTAGTAATCTGTGCTTATTAATATCTGTACCCTTTATATACAATACAGTACAGTACTATGTACTATACTGTATACCTCAAAGGTAAAAAATGTCATTCAAGACATCTTCAGGTCATAAGACCTACAATCCCCCCACCCAACAATGAGTGACCTAACATTACATCAGGTCAGGTTAGTAACGTGACCCAATAATCTCCCACCCAACCTTCATTGCATGTGTTAAGACATGATTAGTTATGTTTTAAATTCAATTTAGTGAAGTATCTGCCTATTCTAGGCTGAAGATAACAGAATTTGCTTTAGTACAATATATACAGTACACAAGAACACTTGACAACGGTGCGTAAATCAGTGGCAAAAAGGATAAAAGTATTACAGCTCTAATCACGACCGTATCATATAGAGCTTTTGATTTTTAAAATACAATTATTTAACCAACTTTTAGATAAAGTATTCAGGAGTATTTGGATAAAAAAACGGTGTGTCTGACTAAATTAGAACTGATTTTACTGACTCTGGTATCAACAACATTTCTTAAACTTTTTTTTATAAAAGAATGGAATTACCATCACTATATATCATATAGAAATACTTCGTTTAAGAATATCTTATTGGAAATATTTTGCAGAGAATTTATTAAGGGTCTTTATGACATCAAATTCATCTCCCTATCACAATTAGCCACGTTT